GCCAAAAAAAAAAACAAATGAATATCGCTTATCCAAATGAAGTAATATAAAATAATTCTTACATATGCAATGATATCACTGAACTTAATTTAAATATTCTTAATTTAAATATTCTAACTATTTTTTTAAAAAAATTATTTAATGTTTTCCCAACCACCAAGAACACACAAACACAACCCAGGCATGTGCAATACCTCCTTAGAAAATAGGTAACAATTATTCATTCAAATTCATTTGTTTAGATGGGAAAAATTTAAATACACAAATTTTATTTTAAAAGTCGTTGTTATCTACCTAATTTTGAAAAAAGAAACATCAAAAATATATTTATAACTAACTATTATATAATAAATTTTTTAAAGAAATAATTCGCATTTAAATTTAAAAGTTTTTTATGAAACTTTAAGAGTTAAAACTAAACGAAGGTTATCGTTATTAGTAAGATAATTTTTTTATTATTCACAAACACTCTTTTATAAGAAGCAATACTCTTCGAGACATGATTAGACACTTTTTTTAATAAATATTTAAAATTTGATTTGTTACATTGTGAAGCACCACTAACCTTTTAAAACATGAGATATGTCTTTTATTCTTTGATGAAAGATAATATATTAGATTAGCTTTCGATAATCAGAAAAAAAAAGGGAAAAATCGTGTAGGAGAATTGAAGGATATTATTTAATTTGTTTGACGTATATATACTTTAATGTTATGATTTTTTTTTACCAAAAAAATTTTACGATACGTTTTATGAGAACTATCGTTCAATATATGCAATTTAAATTCTATAATATATTATAAATATACTACACAAAATTTATGTTTAATTCAAATTATCAAATATTTTGGTGATTAATTTTTGAATTTCATCTTTATATTATTTAAATGATATTTTTTCGTTAAAAAAAAGCATTTTTGATACTATTCCGGTATTTCCTACTGCAATGTATTTGGTCACTAAAAAAAATCATGTAATCCATGTAAAGGATGAAACATAAATATTTTTAATGATACTTTTATAAATTTTGTTAGCAATTATTTATCATTTTTAATCAGCAGAAATTTTTTATTATTAAAGATTACTGGTTTACTTCGTATGGCTATTATACTATGGTTTTACATCCTTTTCACGAGTTTCTTCCAAGAGTTCGACAAACTTGATTGGCTTGTTTCTTGATTCTATACATTAAATTAGAGTCTATTATTATTTATATGGATTCTTAACTATATTTTGTTTCGAAGATATGGGCATCCAAAGTTGATTTTAATGGTTCATATGATTTTCTTCCGAAGTGAGAGTTATAAAATTATCTTATTTTTAAATTCTATACCTATTAAAATAATAATTTATTAAATATATAAAATTAAAATTTTATTAAATCTAGGCCGCGTCTTGATTAGATTGCAAAAGTGATGAGCACTGAAGCTCGAACTACCACTTACATATGGATTATATATTGCGGTCCAATGATATTAAAGATAGTGACATTTGTACAGCCAAATATAATTAGATATTGTTGGAATGAGAAGAAGAAGAAGATAGTGACATTAGGTAATTAACATTAAAAATAAAAGGTGATGAATGTTGCTTAATTGATCTCCAGGTTCATTCATGAGAATTTCTCTTATCCGCATGAACTATAATATAAAACATAAATTTTTCGGACAATGACATTTCATTTGTACATTCTGAAATTAAATACTCATATCAATTACCAGACTTTATAGATTTTATCCAAGTCAAATAGTATTAGTTTTCCGGGTAGTGACTTGTATCAATTTTATGCATAATGATAACGAATTATAAAAAAGATTGATTCAAAATCTTTTCTTAATTATATTTCATCAAATTATTATTCCCTTCTGACCATATAATATACTCTTTTAGTTCTATTTATAAGACAGAGAGAGAAGAAAAAATTAATTTATTTATAAAGTATTTGTCAATTTTTAATGTTCATCTTTACATTTTTGCCTTATTAAATACCTTAAATAAAAACACCACTAGTGAGATTTAAGAATATTTATTAGGATAAAGGTAAAAACTTGTTAAATTTTAAGGTAAACTTAAGGAGGTTTAATGTTTTTCTTGATTCGTATAAAATATGCTAAAAGTAACTTATAAATAGGATTAGAGCGAGTAAAGTATTTTTTAGAAACCTTTGGTCCCAAAATAGGGCATTTGGCAGATTATTTTATATGTAGTTTTTCAATTTCAGTTATATCCCTACTTTATAATGCTTTATAATGTGGGTGTTTTAAATAAATCAATTGTTATATTTATTCTACTCAAGGGTACAATTGATATGTAAATTTTTTTTAATAAAATCAATATTTTAACTAATTTTTTTATAAACATAATTTAATTAACAATGATTTATATTATGATTCTGACTAAGTAACACAAATTTATTTTTTTGTAATAATAAAGAGTAGGCTTCATCAACAATAAAAATTATCTCTTCCAAAATATTGAGGGCAAAAGATAGATTTCTTCTAATTAAATTGTTACCTATGTAGTTATGATTCAAACACACAAATTTAATTTTAGTGGGTGTAAAGATCGATCTCTTCTATGTAGGTTGTTGAGAATTATATGAAGTCTCAAATATATAAAGGTATGACTGTAAATAAGATAACTCGCTATTTCTTTCATGTTCGAAATTAAAATTTGTATATTTACATCTAAAGATCATGACCATAATTTGTAATTAACTATATACAATAATAGTGTATCTTAATTCAGTTGATACAGGTGGGTTCAGTTTTTCTGCCGTAGTTTTTGTGTATTTTTTAAGAATAAATGAGTAATATATCCCCAAACTATAGCGCCAATGACATTCTAGATCCTAAACTCTTATATTATGCAAAATCTTCCATCGTCAATAATATCATAAATGAATTTTAAGATTGAGATAATTTGCCATCATCAATGATGATAGATTTTTTTTTTGCTAAAATATATATTTAATCCTTTAACTTTACACAATGTTTTATTTTAATCCTTTAATTTTATAAAGTATCTTTTTAATCATTGATCCTAATAGATTTTTTCATTAAACTTTTAAAATATTGACAAAACAGTTTCAAATAGCGGCATATTAAGTTTAATATTTTCAAAATAATAATGATTGACACAAAAAATAATCATTTGAAGCAAATAATATCATGACTAAAGGACTAAAAAGATATTTTATAAAATTAAAAAATTGAATTAAAACTTTATCTAAAGTTAGAAGACTAAAAGTATATTTTATCTTATTTTTTCTGTTTTTTTTGGGCAAAAAGATACTACTATTAATGAGAAGTAGAGAAACAAGAATCCAGAATAACAAAATAAAACAAGACGAAAGCCACAGAGGAAATCCGGGGGAAAAAAAAAGCAAATAAAGCGCTATCATATTAATGTGAAATTATATAAATATATATGACCGTATACTTGAAACTTTTAATCTATCAGTAGATTTAAAAACGAATTCATTCCACAAAGTTGTCGACTTGTCATTGGATGTAAATATATTAAATTATAATGAAATATTTTGATTAACAATTACATAAATTTCACTTTTCCTCAGTTTTTATCTAATCATGTTGATATCAGCCAACATATGTTTAGAAGAAGTGCTTATATTAGGCGTGCCTCGTACATTTACCCAATAAAAAAAACATGGACACAAATATTCAAACACATTCAGACATATAGTTTCTCAATTTAAGATTTAGCTGTGTGGACATGAAAAAGACATTTCAGGAAAATATTATTTGACAGTTGTAAATAATATACGCAAGCTTTATAGCATTGCATGTAACATACTTTTTTTTTTTGGTGTATTGTGTTTCATTCTTTCCCTCTAATAATGGAAACTAACATATATTATTAATTGAACGTTAAAAAACCCAAACACTTGCCACAAATGAAACACTAAATATATAACATATTATTACTCCTGTCATGGATGACAATACATCACGTTTCATAAATATTTAAATTCTTGTTCTTCTCTTTCATGCTAGTTCCAACCTCTAGCTTTTTGGAGAGATAATCAATACACTAACCAAGATTTAAATCCTCTCAAGTTGGGGTTGATGCATTTTGATGAAGTGTTTTTTTTTTTAAGAAAGGGATAAAAGATTTTATATTTTATAAAAAATATCAGAATGAGTGAAAATACTTAAAAAAGAAAACTTCATTTAAATTCATCAATCCCAACTTGAGATGATTTAAATCCTATTAACCAAAGAGCCAAAAGCTGTTCTGGCTAAATATTTAAATTCAACTGTTGATATTTAAACACTTTGCTATGAATATCTTTTGTCATTAAAATAAATTTAAAATATATTTTTTATGTCTCAAGACATTAAGAAAAAAAGGTGCAGCACCAATTTACATTAATTGGTAAAGAGCCCTGAATTGTATGCCAATGTTATATATTATAGTGGAGAATTTACAACATCCAGATATAGGGAAGAAAATAATACAAATTTTATTTTAAAAGTGTATGTTATCCAGCTACTTTTGAAATACACACATTACAAATATATGCTTTACAACTTGATATTAGACACACACACATGTATGTATGTATGTATGTTAGTTTTAAGAAAAAAATCGCATGCATGAAGAAATAAAGAAGAAAAATGGGAACATGTCCAATTTTTAATTATAGTTTTTGTGGTATGTGAATCTTTAGATTTTCACTTTCTTCTTCTTCTTCTTCCTCTCTACTAACTCTTCTTTGATCTGTGAAAGCCTTGCTATTATAAGATTGATTGACCATTCATACTTCAATATATTCCCAATCGTTGACAAATAGAATGATAATGATAGCAATAATATTGTATTTATCATAAATATTTAAATTCATATGCTGAGATTTCAACATTTTGTTATGAATATATTAATATATGTCATGCATGACAGATAGAATGATAACGAATTGACGATAATGATAATTTATTCAAACCTCGTAGCCGTACGGACTCATGAAATTCCAAAAGTCCGTTACCTCCCATCCCTGTCTCTATAAAATGAGCGAGAGATCTTTGTTCACGAAAGTGCATGCAAGCTCGTTTGGGTTCCCGATCTACTGTTTATTACTCGGTACTTTCACTGTTTCTTTTTATTAATTTATTTTCAGTATATATTCTTGTCCCTAATTGAGAATGAGGTAGTTAATTATATGATTTCTTCATGAAACTATCCTTTCAAAAGCCATTTTTCATTTGCAAAACCCAGTTTTCTAAAGCGCAATTTTTTCCTCAATTGCAAAACCCAGTTTTGAGTAAATGTTCCATTTCGCAGAAGTCAGCTTTCTTGTAGCGAAACACACACATGTGTACCATTTGACTAGCATTATTAGAGATATACTACTAGTAGTCGAAGCACTAAAAAATGGACCGTTCACTGAACCACACTAGTATAGAAAGGGACATCTACATCAATTAAAATTGGTTATCTACACCAATTATACAACTAGCATAAATAAGACCAATGTAAAAACTATGTCGATACCTATAATGGTTATACAACCGGTGTAGATAATGATCATATTTACACTAATTGTCCAACATTGATTATATATTAATACTGATTATAAAATTATTATTTTCACTAGTTATATATTTTTTAACGGTCAAAACCATAGTTGAACCATGATTAGACTAATTATAAATAAAATATTTTATTAAACCAGTCAAGGTATTTGGTTTTACAATTTACTGATTCAACTAATTGATTGGGTTGATCCAATTTTCATAATTTTGTGATTTTGCAGGATATTGCTAGTTTGTGTAGCTTAAATATGAGTCACCGTGTTAGTGACAAGGATATGGAAAAGGTGATGGATGAGGAAATCAAAAGTGGGCATTCTTCCAATAGACATGACGACAACACTTTGCCATATGTTCACAAGGTGGGAGTTCCTCCTAAGCAAAATGTTCTCGAAGAGATCAAATATACTGCCATGGAAACTTTTTTTGCAGACAAGCCCTTAAGCCACTTTAAAGGCCAACCTGCATCCAGAAAGTTTGTTCTTGGCCTGCAAGCAATTTTCCCAATCCTTGAATGGGGAAGAGGTTACAATCTTACTAAATTTAAAGGGGATTTTGTTGCTGGACTTACTGTTTCAAGTCTCTGTATTCCTCAGGTAAAGTAGTAGTACTTATAGAATTTCTTTTTTTTTTCCCTTAATGTATATCAAACCACAGGTTTGGTTAAGGTGCTCATCATGTGATGAGCAATCTAGACCGTCTAAAAGATCAAAAAGTTTTTATTTTATAATAATTAAAATAAAAAATTATACAAAATAATAAATTTATTTTATTATTACATGATGAGCACCCAAACCAATTTCATCAAACCATCCGCTTGTATTTAAAAGTCATACTATACTTTGACTGACCTAAGCCAAGGCAGGAAGGATCATGAAAGAGCTCTTCTAATTAGCTCAAACTTGAGATTATTAGTTAAACCAGCATAGCTTGTCAAATTATTTATATTAACTATGCTTGAGGATTGTTTATTTCACTAAAATAGTTTAAATAAGTTTAGACACATCCCAAACTTTATATATTCTTAATTTATTCTCTAATTACTTGATGTAGGATTTCTTTCTCTAATATTCCCTTTATTATTTTCTTTTCTTCTTGCTTGGGCTTGTATTTTTTGTTCTAAGTTTAAAGGGTTTCAAATCCATAATCTTCATCTCTCTCTCTCACTTCTTTTGTTCATATTTCATTTTCTCTCTCTCTTTTCTTTTATCTATTTTGCGTCCAAGATTGACAAGTTCATGATAACATGTCAAATTATTTATATTAAGTATACTTAATGATTGCTTAATTCAATAAAATAGCTCAAGCCTCTTAATTAGTTGAATACATCCAAGTATAGTCATAATGTACCTTTTAATTAATATAGGTGAGAGATTTCTTTATTTGATATACAGCTCCTTGTTAACTGAACATTAATTAGCTGCTCTAGTATATATATATTTTTTATGAGTGCTAGCTCCTTTAGTACATGTTACCACAAAAGAAAAGATAAATAATAGACTCGCATGTGCTTTTGGATTATGACCTTTCACATGAATATTGCACAACAGGCAATTGCATATGCAAAGCTTTCGAATTTGAAGCCTCAGTATGGACTCTGTAAGTCTTTTTCAGATAACGTTTTTTAATTCTTCCCAGCCTGCAGCTTCGCGGCTCTATGAGATTAACTTTCTATATATATCACTATGTGCAGACTCAGCCTTTGTTTCTCCAATTGTGTATGCTATAATGGGAAGCTCAAGAGACATGGCTTTGGGACCAGTGGCTGTGGTATGCCTTTTGCTTGGGACAATGATGACAAAAGAGAATAATGACTATGAAAGTTTCGACTATGTTCGTCTTGCATTTACTGCCACCTTTTGGGCTGGAATCACTCAAATGGCTTTTGGAATTCTCAGGTATGTATAACTCACCTCAAACTTACATGCCTTTCATTCATTCATTCATTCTGTAAGACTTATCTATAACAACTTGGCAGGCTCGGATTCTTGATCGAGTACTTATCTCATGCTGCCATTGTGGGATTCATGTCTGGAGCTGCTATTGTTATAGCCATGCAGCAGCTTAAAGGATTTCTTGGCATACGAAAATTCACCAAGAAGAGTGACATTATTAATGTCATGCGCGCAGTTTGGACTAACGTAGAACACGGGGTATGCATATATAAGTACTTAATGTGATAGAGTTTATTAGTTTTGCTTTCAAGCATTATGTCATGAGTCTTATATTAAAGAGTCTCACAACTGAAGTGGAGTTTATAAATATAAAAAGCTCTCCCATCCAATGGGGTATAGTCATTTGAGATGGCCTCTTCTAATTAACTTTGTACTCATAATATTGGTGTTTTCATTGACAAACTGATGTTATAAAGAGTGCTACCCATGAAGAATTTTTGACCGATAGAAGACTAAGTGAAATGCCATGGAATAGAGTTGCTGTGGATGTTGGTTCTTGAATGAGGTGGCATTGTTATGTGTTTCATATCAAGAGGCTCACAAATATCAAGAAGCTCCTACCTAACATTCTAGTCTTCTAAGATGGGCTCTCCTTTTAAATTTGTGCTTATAACACATTATTACACTTAATAATATTTCTTCTATTATTCTTTGCAGTGGCATTGGCAAACGATACTCATTGGAGTAGCATTCTTGGCTTTTCTCGTTATAATAAAGAATACGGTGAGACTAAGAATTAATATATTTCCATCATTGATTGACCTTTCTCTGAAATGTTTAATTATTTTCTAATGGATAGGCTAAAAAGAACAAGAAACTATTTTGGGTGGCTACACTTGCTCCTTTGACGTCTGTTATAGTGTCCACCTTTTTTGTCTACATAACCCGAGCTGACAAGAAAGGTGTTGCAATTGTGAGTATATATAACATGAAATTGAATTTTCTCTCGTAGTTTAAACACATTAAAGTCCTCAACTTTTGACCTCAAAATATGTTATTTCAGGTGAAAGACATAGATAAGGGAGTGAATCCAATATCTGTTGGTGATATTTTTTTCAGCGGAAAATATCTTGGTGCTGGTATTCAGATTGGTGTAGTAGTTGGTCTGATTGCACTCACGGTAAGCAAATTCTAAAATGATTTGTTATAAGTCTCACGTCAAAAAATTAAAAAAAAAAAAGTGAAAGTTATAAATTTATTAGACTAGTATTTTAGAATAACTCTCCCTAACATTAATGTGTTTGAATCTTGTAGGAAGCAGTGGCAATAGCGAAAACATTCGCTTCCAGGAAAGATTATCCCTTAGATGGTAACAAAGAAATGATTGCATTGGGAACAATGAGTGTTGTTGGTTCATTCACATCTTGTTTTTTAGTTTCAGGTACAATAGAGAAAAGAAAAGGAAACTCAAAATCCCTCTCTATATATATTGTTTGAGTCGCTCAGAGACTGCTATTATATCAAATGGTTGTGATCTAATCGATATCATTTCTTTTGTTTACTGCAGGATCTTTTTCACGTTCAGCAGTGAACAGCACGACTGGCTGTAAAACTGCTGTATCAAACATTGTTACAGGCATTGTGGTGTTATTAACCTTGCTGTTCATCACACCGTTATTTAAGTACACTCCAAATGCAGTGCTTGCTTCTATCATAATATCTGCTGTGCTAAGCCTTATTGACATTGAAGAATTCGTTCATTTATGGAAGATAGACAAGTTTGATTTTGTAGCTGCCATGGGAGCTTTCTTTGGTGTGGTTTTCAAATCTGTTGAGATTGGCCTTCTTATTGCGGTAAAAAAAAAGAACGAAATCACAAGAAATTTTTTTTTTTAAATATGGGATTTAACTAATCTATATCATGCAAGCCTTTAATGTTTTGCAGGTGATCTTATCATTTGCCAAAATCCTTTTACAAGTTACAAGGCCAAAGACAATGGTACTTGGGAAGATTCCAGGGACGAATGTTTACAGGAGCATCTTTCAATACCCAAATGCTAAACAGATTCCTCAAATGCTGATTATTAGAGTTGATTCTGCAATCTATTTCTCTAACTCCAGCTATATCAGAGACAGGTTAATTATTAATATATTTATTGCACTTCTAATCCCATGTAATTAATGAATGTGTATCCTCTTGGGAAATCCAAGACCATGCTTATGTATTACTTGTTGACTCTGTGATCCAATCAAAATTTGCAGAATTCTGCGATGGCAGGAAGATGAAGATGAGCAAAGGAAAGAAAGTGGCTTTCCCAAAATAGAATATGTGATTGTTGAGATGTCACGTAAGGATCATTTGTTGTTAGATGATTTGATATATCTTGATGTTGATTATATTGTTAGCATACAGAACATTCTTATTGATCATGGAACTATTTTTCTTCAGCCGTTACTGACATTGACACTAGTGGCATCCATGCCTTTGAAGAATTACACAAGAGCCTCAAGAAAAGAGGATTACAGGTAACACATATAATCACATAAGTCAATATTTTTGCATCATCACTACGACATTGATATTTTAGAGAACGCAAATGATTTTATGTGAGCGTAAACAACATACATTTGAATATTTGATATGTGATATGATTGATAATTAATCTCTTTGGCATAATTCTGATGCAGCTTCTGGTGGCAAATCCTGGGCCAGTTGTAATGGAGAAGCTGCATGCGTCCAAGTTGGCAGAGACTATTGGGGAAGACAAGATATTTCTATCAGTGGCTGATGCTGTTGCAACTTTCGGTTCAAAGGCTGATCATGAAGTTTGATAGGTTGATAATTTCAAACTAAGAACCAATATAATTCGTTAGTTATGAATGGATTAATTGGTTGAGATAAAGATTAGCTTGGCCAATCATGGTCCGAGGAGATTCCTACGTGGCATGCTGTAGTCTTGTGTTGTTGTCAGGCTTTGTTGCCTTTTTTCCCAGATAATGTGTGAAGTCAATGGTCATCAATTCATGTAGCATATAAAAGGTCATGTAAATTTGTTCTGTTTCATTGTTTTGTTTCACATTTTAGTACAAGATGTTGAAAAAAAAAAAAAATCTGATCAGGTTAGTTCAGATTAGAGTGTGTAGGGTTTGGGTAGTGATCAAGCTATTATTAAGTCCTTTAATGTAACTAAAAGAAAATAAATAAAGTAATAGAAGAAAAGTTTGGGAAGTTGTTATATATATATATATATATATATCTTATTTGGTGGGAGCAAATTTATCTAGCTTGTTTATTCCATTGATAGTTTCTTGATCATGCATGTGCAATCTCTGGCCCTTAAATTTACAATACAATAGGGTTGATAAAACAATCATCGTCAAGATTGTCATTTAGTCAAACCTAATGAGAAAATTTTATATGATGCATGCTAACCAAAAGAAAAAGTCAAATTGATAATTTTTTAAGACTAGAAGAGCAAATTAACTCTTAGATTTTAAATTTAATAGTATCAAGATCTTGAACTTGTTTATTATGCAAACTATTTTCTTAACTTTTAAAAATAATGTAATTTAACTTCTTCTATTTTAAAAAATTAACTTGTTTTGTTGGTTGACCAGAAAATAATAGAAAAGAATTTCAATTTTTTGAGTCATTGTCTGTAATATTTGAATCCTTTATTGTAATTTTTTGTTCCTTTTTTTTGTAATTTTGATATCATTTTTTATTATTTTCTAATCAATTAATAATTAAAGTTAACTAATTTTGTTAATTTCAAGAGTAAGATTGCATTGTTTTTAAAAGTAAAAGGAATAATTTGTACAATAAATAAGTTTAAAGCCTACAAAGCTATTGATCAAAGTTCAAAAATAAATTTGCCCATTTATCTTTATTTTTAAGTGTTCAATTCATAAACGTGAGATATGTATTATTACTTACCAAACATTTTATTTGTACGCACATACCTATAAAATAAAAATACATATATAGCTAGTAATCTTGACGATATTTTTTAAAGAGAAAATATAAATTTGAATCTTTGTATTTTTTGAGTTTTTCTATAGGTCCCTACATTTTTTTGATATTCTAAACCTCTTTAATTTTATTTTTCAGTATTCTAGGTCTCTCCATTAACAATGTTATAGGGACCTCGAACACTTAAAAATAAAAGTGCAAGAATTTAAAATGCTGAAAAAAATACAGAAACTTATAGCAAAACTCAAATAAAGTGTAAGGATCTAAAGTTATATTTTGTCTTTTAAAATTATTCCAGAATATTTATATTTAATTATTTTATTTCCTATAATATTTTCTTAATTAATGCTTTGATTTTTAAGAATAGATTAAGACTTATAAATAGGATCTTAATTAATTTATTTTGTATGCCTTCGCTTATAAATGTAACTAAAAAGCCGCCGTCCCATCAAATTTGACAACTACAGTGAAATTCCCGTGAAAATTAAAATTTAAGAGTTAATAGTTAATAGTTAAGTAAGACAGCCCCAATGCCAAAATGCCCCAAGCTTGCACTTACACATATATGGATATAATGACCTTTCAAATTCTCGCTTGGACATTAATGAATACAAACACACTATAAAACACTAATTCAAAACATATAATCATAAGAAATTAACAAGGTCCATTACACTAATATCTGGACCGAGGGATTAAGAGCTAACACGAAATGTACATTAAAAAAAATGCAAGAACTGTAAAAATTAACAATAGTTGCTAATAGTTTTTGACAACGACAAATAGTACACTTTTAACGGCGACAAATATTGCCAAAGGTTTTTGCCACTAAAAGTATTTTTGGTGATAATAAATGTTGCTATTAAAGAGACTTTTAGTGACGTCATTTGTCCACCAAAACTTTTTTAAAAAAATAATAATTTATTTTATGTCACATCACTCTACCGTGTGTGCATTATGTGATATCACATCACTTGTCATATATGCTACAGATGATGCCATGTCACTTGCCATCTTATACCATGTCACAGGCCATGTGTTTGACAGATGATGCCACATCACCTCACCACCTCATGCCATGTCACATGCCACGTGTGCACATCCTCAAGCCACCTCATGCACTACGCCACCATCTCATGCCACATCACCTGCCATGTGTGTGCCTCCTCAAGCCACCTCATGTGCCACATCACCATCACATGGGCACATCACCTACCACATGTGTGCCTCCTCAAGCTACTTCATACACCACATCACCACCACTTGCCACATCACATATTTGTTGCAAAATATATCAAAGTCAATGTTTGAACTCTTGACCTCTCCCACCTTCAAGTTTTAAGCGTCCCTTCTCTATCAATTGAATTAAAATGCATCTGCAGTTATCACATGCGAAATTAAATATATGTAACTTGTAACATCCCAATTTAAATTTTAATAGTTAATTTGGGTTAATAAAAATTTAAAAATAATAATAATAATATTTAGAGGTAAGAAAATTAGTAGAAATGATTATTAAATCTAATTTAGGATATAATTCTAAATTAAAAAAATTTAAAAAAAATTATTAAAAAAATAATAAAAAAATATTATTAAATTATTATTATAATAAAAAAAGGAAAAGGTATGCAAAAAAAAAGGGAAAGAAGGAAGAAAACGTGAACGCTTTCGGCCGCCGCATCAATAGTAATATAAAATAATAAAAAGAGAGAGAGAGAGAGAAAAGAAGAAATAATAATTAAAAAAAGATGTGGGACCCACTGAATTTTTATAAAAACTCACCTGTTCCTTCATTTCTTCATTCCTTCTTTCGTGTGTGAGCTGAGGCAGAGAGAGAGCATCTGTGAGCTAAGTTCACCGGTGCTGGGTTTTAAGGTAAGAGTTTTTAATAGGATATTTAGGGTGTGATTTTAAGCTTTTCAAGACTAAGTAAGTGTTCTAAAATTTTTTCTTAGTCATCCTTCTTCTTTGGTTTCTGAGTTTGTAGTGACAGAAAATTTAAGATCTAGAAGAGGGATAAATTTATGTTGAATAAATATAATTTTTGAGGTTGTCAATAGTATAATAAATGTTCTAGAGTATAAATTTATTGATGATCTTTGAATCTGTGGCTTATGGATCAAATTCTAAACTAGATCTGAAAATATATGTTGATTTATTGAGGTTTAGATGATTATTTGGGATGAGAAATGAATTATTATGGTTATAGGATTATGATTCTAAGCTAGAGACTCAATTTTTAATTTTTGGATATTTTAGGTACGAATTTATGAAATAAAAAGAAAATTTTGATAATAGAAATTAGTTTAGAAGTTGATTTTTAGATTATTAATGTTTATTGATAATTAAAAGAGGAGTTAAAAATTTTACTTAATAGTATTAACTATAGATTTGTATTAAGATTGAGATTAGGAATTATGTTATATTTTTAATTCTATTATTAGAATTATTTTATTAGTTTCAAAAATTGAAACTAATATTTATAAATAATATGTTATTTGTAGATTGTATTACTGGTGAAGATTGTGGTGAGAGAGAAATTTTAAGGAATAATTTATTGAAAAAGCCACAAGGTAACCATGCTTTTAATTTGTGATTAGTGTTACTTCATGTTAATTGGGTGATTATTGAGAAATTTATAAATTTTGTAATATTATATAATTGTGCAATATTATTATGAATTTATTTGATTATTGTGGGAGGTGTTGGGAGACTTGCTATTGTTGTTGTATTTATGTGCCACGTGGTACGCCCCTATTGGAGCTCAATAGGTGGCTTGTAAGGGCTCGGGCTAATCTACCTTTGGCCGGGTAATTTAGCACCGAGTGAGGGCTACGGCTCGAGGCTAATGGAGGGATATAAGGATGGTTGTTTGTGTGTATTGTAATATTTCTTATATTTGTTGGAATTATATTATTTTTAATTCTCACTTAGTAAGCACACACTTAACTGTTTGTATACACTATCATAAATTGGCTTTGGTTACTGGGACTTTTGAGTCTCATTATGTGGTTAACAATTTTCAGGAGAAGAGCCACAAGTGACACGTGGAGGAGTCCCAGAGGCTTAGTGGTATAGATCCACTATCTCTTTTGGGTATTTAATTTATGATTTATAATGTGTTATATTGCCAATATTAGGGCTTTTTGTTTATTGTCAATTATATGAATATATAAATGTAATCATGCCTTTCAAACTATTTCTATTTTTGGTACAATTTGGATGACTGTAATTTTAATATTTAGTTTACTTTGGATTGGTTAAAATGGCATGATTATAAGGGCAAATAACTGGTTTATGTTGAAAAATGACTAAATTGTTTATTTTACTTATTGGGAGTATAAGGATGGACAAATGTGATTTAGTTTACTTGTTGGGAGTATAAGGATGGACAAATGTGATTTAGCCTAATGGCATATGGGAGGTAAAAAATTATCTGAAATGTTATAGTGTATGAGTTGAAGCCAATTATAAAATATTTTATATTAAAATTATTGATATAAAAATGTGATGGGTGGCTGTAACCCAACTATGGTTGAGTTAAATTATTTTTAAAAAAAAATTTTTGGTGTGTTACATAACTGCATGCACATTTATGAAATAATATATTATTAAAAATATATAAATATATTTTTTTATTTTCAATTGTTAATATGACAAAATGAAATTGTGAGAGAAAGTAATTGAGCATAGGTTGAGATTAGAGACAAGTATTTTTGAGAATTAGTTTGGTTTTATGCCAGGTAGATCGGCTACAGAGGTGATTTATCTAATAAGGAGATTAATGAAAAAATATCGTCGTAAAGATAAAGATTTATACATGATTTTTATTGATTTAGAAAAAGCTTATGACCATATACCAAGAGAAGTACTTTGAAAAGCTTTGGAAAAGAAGGAAGTGCGGATTACTTATATTAAAGTTATATAAGAAATGTATGAGTGGATAAAAACTAGTGTAAGAACGTCTAATGGTCAAATAAAGGACTTTTTTATAAAAATTGAACTACATCAGGGATCATCTTTGGGTCCTTATCTATTTAATTTGATCCTAAATATTTTGACGGAACATATTCAAGGAAAAATCCTTAAATGTATACTTTTCGCGAATGATATAGTTCTTATAGTGGAGATAAGAGAAGAGATTAATTGTAAACTTGAGTTATAGAGGAGAAAATTCGAGTCGAAAGGTTTCTGTCTGAGTAAGAGTAAGACGAAATATTTATATTGTAAATTTGGTAAGAAACTAGTCAACATAATTTAAAAGTAA